CCATAGATGAGGGTAGGAACGTAGATCGACCGGTAAATCGAGAGCTTTAAAAAGTCAAATATTTTAAAATTTTATGAATTGGTTAAATTTAAAATTGCATAATTTATGTTCAAAGAGAGTAATAAATAACTTCCAGGAAATCTTCAAAACATGTTTGTGATAGAGAGGGGGGCTTTAAAGGAAGAGGAGAGCTCAAATTTAAAAAACAAAGTATGCGAACCTCGAGAAAAAGTATGTCTGTGTGTGTGTGTGTGTGTGTGTGTGTGTGTGTGTGTGTGTCTGTTTTAAAATAAAGATTTTTGAACTTGTTTTTACTGTGAACCTTTGGCCACAGCCAGCTGACATTAAAGCATCATCTCAGCACGTCTGACAGCCACCAACCTTCCTGAGAGACCTTCTTCCAGGGGTGGGGGGGGTACATGAAGGCTGCGTTCTGGATCTGATCGTTGATATCTTCGTCCTCATTGAACGGGAACGTCCCACTGAGGCTGCAGACAGACGGCACGGTTTATTTAACCCGGTTAACTGGAGCTGGCAGAGGTTTTGTGTGTGACGTGGTACCTGACGTAGATGATGACTCCGACGGACCACATGTCCAGGGACCGGTTGTAACCTTTGTTCCTCAGGACCTCCGGAGCCAGGTACGCCGGCGTGCCCACCACCGAGCGCCGGAACGACTTCTCACCRATTATCCGAGCAAATCCAAAGTCACAAAGCTTCACCTGCAGCCAGACAGATAAACAGTTAACTGCACTTTCTTCACCACACCAGGGCTCTGCAACCTGCGGCTCCGGGGCCACATCAGGCCCTTTGTGGTTTCAACCATAAACTGAGCACAGAAAGTCAGAGGGTCTGCACTCTCAGCTGGCGAGACACAATTTTTTGCTGGAGGCGTGGCCTCTGTTAAAGTTTAAAATGAATGGATCTGATTTTACCCAATCTCTAACTTTTGGTCGTGATGTATGTAGTGCACCAGCTCAAACGTGAAGCTAAGCTATGAAGCTAATAGGAAATAGCGTGCTGTAAACAACCATCTCCTACTGGGAGSACAGAAGTACTGAACCGAACAAAGTGGCTGTAAACGAGTGCTGCAGGCTTCGTGAGTTAAATTTAAATKAATTTGGAAGCCTTGTCAACACGGACCACCTAAACAAATCAACGTTGTCGTTCACAACTCCTCCTTCTGTTTTCTGACTGGTTGGTTAAAATTCTGCCGGTGGAATCCTTGTCTGTGGGARCAAATGCTGCGTTCCAGTTGGATCGGACCTCGAAATCCTGAAGCTGGACTGACGTCAGCTCTGAACTGATAGCGTTCCAGTTTTAAACATCGGAAAAAGCGTTTCTATTATTTTGCTCTGCAACAATAAAACGCACAATAATAGTGCTCTACGAGGTATTTTGAGTGTACAAACAGTGTTAAAACATATATTTTAACTATCACTATAAAGCACTACAAGTACGTCTGACGCAATGTAAAATAAACAACACAGAACAAATCTGCGTTTGTTTACATGCAAGACTAGCAATGTTAGCAGTTAGCTCGGACAAGCATGCTAGTACGCTACATACATTAAACAAATATAAAAAGGGAAAATAAACAAACTAATTACACTTGTTTWTATTCTGCCTCCTCTCTTCTTACTTTCTGTCCGTTAAATAATGGGGATGGTGCTTGTGTGCGTTTGATTACAGCTCAACATTAGCCGTTAGCTTAGAGAAACATGCTAATGATAGCGTGACTGCTGACAGTTTCATGCGCGCAGCAGCCATGTTGAAATGATGACGTAACACATGCTCAGGCTGCTCGGGTATGGTTTGGCTGCGCCGACCTCTCGACTCGAAAATACGACTTGAAAAATAGAACTCGAAGGCTCGAAGCTACGACCTCCGAGGACAACTGGAACGTAGCAAAAGATTAGAATCGAGTGGAACTTGTAGAAAGGCAATGACCAGGCTACACAAATGCATGTTCTTAACAAATGTGGCTCCATGTAAAAGGGGAATTAACAGGCTTTTAAAAAATTAATTTCTATTTCATAAAAACAACAACAACAACAACAACAACAACACAGGTTTAATTTAATTTGAAACCAAGTTTATGTCTTCCTAAACTCTGTATCTCCTCCAACACCTATTTAATATTTTCCCCAGAATAAAAAGTGTTGAGTCATCAACAAACAAAACATTTTAAAAGCTTCAACACACTGACCAACTCATTCACATGTAAAATAAACCGTTCTGGTCCGAGCACAGAACCCTGAGGAACTCCACAACTATTATTAATTAATGCAGATCTCACATTGTTTACTCAAACAAACTTTCTTATTATTCTAATAAGCAGAAACCCACTGTAGTGTTAATCCTCTACTGCTGTGTTTCTTCAGCTCTTCAGTCAGGATGTTGAAGACCTTCCTTAAACCAACATAAACACTAACAGGAAAGTTTTGATCAACAACAGTTATCTCTTCCATTAATTCCACGAGAGACATTGATGTTGAATTATTTGCTCTAAACCCATACTGACTGCTACTTAAATTATTTTGTTTGTTCACAAATTCATCTAATCTGGTTACAAATCATTTCTGTAAAATAATTAAAAACTGTGGTAACAAGTAATTTGGTCTGTAATTAGTGAACAAACATTTCTCACCATTATAGAGAGGAATTACCTTAACTTCTTTATTATATTCC